CCGAGGCAGAGTTGCTCTGCCCCGGGCTTCCTGGAATCAGCTGCTGATCAGTTTCAGCAGCAGCTGACTTGGGGACACCTGGGGTTCTTAAGTTGAATCTGTATGTAAGTCGGAACTGGTGTCCAGACTGATCAGTTTCAGCAGCGGCTGAATCTGGACGCCAGTTCCGACTTACATACAGATTCAACTTAAGAACAAACCTACAGTCCCTATCTTGTACGTAACCCGGGGACTGCCTGTAGAACTATTTGAAGTGGTCAGAGCTATTTCTGATAGTAAATGTTTGTAGGCTCTGAATGGATATGTAACCAGTGACCCAGGATGGTGTTTAAGTGGGCACCATGAATGGGGTATGTCATGTTTTAATTGGGATTTTAAACAAAGGGCTTGAGCATGTGTAGATTATTATTAATTATGGTTTCTTGGCCAGTGTTGGTAATTGCAGCTTGAAAAATCTGCTATATCTCTAGTACCAACATGAAGTTTTATTTTAAACCCAATGTGCCATTTGTTAATATTTTGTTGAACATTCTTAAGAGGATTAGTGACAAAAATGTCAAAGTCTGAAAGGAATCTTCCCATCATTTCTGATTAATTCCATTTTAACTATGAGTGAAACCCTCTTCAGAATTGCATAACCTTGTAACCCTGCCCTCCTCTTCAGTATGGCAAACCTTCAGTCTTCTTCTCTACAGGCAAACTCTCCTACAAAGAGTGAGGCTTAAAGAATGTACAAAATCAAGACCTGTTACTTGGTGTGATGGACATGCTTCACTCACTGCTCAATGGCACCTTCTCCTGGACGACCTGGGGGTTAGCTCAGTCAGGCTGAGGCCTCTTTCAAGACTCACTATACCTCTTAGGTTTCTCCTCTGCCCCCCCTCAGGAGCTGTAGCTGTCCCTTTCATGAGGCAGCCCTTCAACCAGGTCACAATTGTGGTTCCCTCTTCTTGGGGCAGGGGTATCAAAGTTCCTGCTTGTCAGAAGTTTCAGGCAGTTTTCTGCTTTGGCACCTCCCAGTGCCACTCCTGCAGTGTCTGGCAGGGGAGCCTGAGCCACCCTACTCCAAGTTCTACCTCAGGGACCCTCTACATAACAGTCAAGGTCCTTTCCATACACCAAGCTGCCTTTTACTGAACTGCTTCCATACCCGTGCTCTCCCCACTCCCTTGGGCTTACTTGTCTCCTGTCTTCCTCCTTCCAGGGGTTAATTTTAGGTAACTCAGATTTGCAGTTCCCCCAAACGCACCTCCCTCTTCCCAGAGAGAACTGTAGACGCCTTTCCTGTAACCCCTTCTGTTCCCAGTTTCCTGTCTTTCATAGAAGCCCCCGCTTGTCCCTCGTAATTAATTTTCTCTTTAATTTACTGACTCCAAGCTAAGGCTTCTTGTTTTGCAAACTAAACAGGTGATTTGGCCCCACCTGGCCCAATTCAGCTCTGGCAGGGCCAGTGTGGGAAACATACTCCATCATACTTGGGCAAAAACTATTTCTAACTTTTCCCAGAAATGTGTTTACCCTCCGCCCCCCCCCAACAAATCTCTTCCTCGTCTTTTAGAAAGCAAATTGAACAAAATTGAGATGAGAAATATTTTCTCCTTACCATTGTACTTGAATTAGATATTTAGTAGCATATATTGGCACCAGAAACAATAGAACTTCTCTTTTGCACAAAAGTTTATTTGTGTAGTATTTAGCACTGGCCTTTTCTAAAATTGAGATATCTAAACTTACTTTAGAAAACACTATTAGTTCATGCTGCAGAGTCAGATACATGTCTCACCACAGCACAGCTTGGGCACTTTTTGGGCAGCTTATGATCTCTGATATTTTCAAGAGGGATTTCTATAGTTATTTGAAGTTTGTTTCTTGAATCTAACATCTTGTTTAATATTACCTATGTCTGTTAGCAGAGATTGTCGTTGTTAACTCTTCAGTCCCATTACATGCCTCATTGTCAGATGTGGGCAGTTTGCCAGGAAACTATGAGTCCCAGAGTGAGCGCGGAAGGTTAGGGATAAAGTATGCTAGTTCCAAAGAAACTCTATTCCAAATGGATCAGTGTGGAACAACAATAATATCCAATGACTAGTTAAGTTAGCCACAGATGTGTTTTCCCTAACACTATTCAAGAAGACATACGGTATCTTAGGCTTGGTTCAGACATAGTAATATTCTAAAGTCAAATCAGATTCAAGCAAAATTGCATTTGTACTAGAGAAGCCTATAAGGAATTGCGTAATGCAATTCAGATGAGTGGATGATTCAGACTGCTACAGATTTTGCAAGAACAACATCTATGAGAGATGAGGTAAGGTGCTGGCATTGAAGTGTGGTAGTTTGATCTTGACAAGTTTGATGTTTAAATTTTAACTTGAGTAGATTGACACACAGTTAAAGTGATATGACATGTCAGCTGCCTGACAGGCCATAAGTCTGAAGAAGAATCACAGGATCTCCTGAAACTAGAAACTTCATGGAATTGATTTCTATTTGTTTTTGGACTTACTGTGGTCATTACTTATGGTATCCTCCCCTATTACATTGTCTTCACAAAAAAGTATTACTGAATTAGCCCCAGAGAAGGCTAATTATTTTGGCATCCTGCTGAGGGCAGTGTACTTGTATCCAGGCAAAACCTTGATGGCTCCCGGCATCTCTTGGTGACAGAGAAGTGAATGCTACGGTAATAGTATCCCTTCTCATACATGTTTAGGCAGTTTTTTTTTCTTGGCATGATCTCTATAGCAATACTTGGAATTTCTAACTTTGCTGAAAAACAGATTCTCCCCTACAGCTGAATCCTTGGCTTTGCTGTTTGTAACTCTGATTTTTTGTTCTCAGAGACCAAATCTGGCTAAAATAATGAGGAATGACAGATAAATTATATGGTGGAAATTACGTGGGAAATGTAACTGTATTACTTAATAGCCGAAGCATAATGAAGTTTTCTTTTGTGTTTTTTTACCTATTTCTTTATCTTGTTTTTTTTGGGGGGGTGGGCGGTCAGTCAAATGAATGCAATGCATTGAAATCAAAGTATCAGCACAGTATACAGAATAGATTCTTGTTACAAGTTTTTGATAGTAAAAATAAAAACTGGAAAAACAGTTCCAAATAATAAAAAAAACTTCCCCTATGCTCTTCAGCATGGGAATGTATCTTTGTTTTGTGGTGATATATTAAATGATTAATAACAGTATTAGTCAAATTTTGGAGAGAGGTCATTTTAAATTTTCCTCAAGTTTTCAGATTTAATTCAAAATAGGGCACAAATAGTAAATGTTTATTCAGGAAATGGCTAAACTCATTCCCTCTCTTTTTGATTGTCATATTTTATTTTAATCAGGCAAACATCCATCATTCCTTCCCATCCATTTTCCTCTTGTTATCTGAGCCTGGATTTAAGAAATCTTGCATTCCCGTATTTAGGAATTTTTTTCAGGATTTGTACCCAAGTGTTTGTATCTTTATACCCACATTAATTTTGAGAATAACCATGAAAAAATCATGGCTTTGTTGGAAGCATGCTGACAGGTAAAGCTGATCTGTGCATTCATTTTTTAGAATAGTGGTAGACATTTTTAGGTAACTTCTGATTTTATATATTTAAGGATCGTCTGGGTATGTTAACTCACATATCACTTAATAAGAGAAATAAGTTTACTCCCAAATAATTTTATTCCAGAAATGCTTATTCCTATGGATTTATATCCTCTCTTCTTTACAGGGTCTTTGTGAACAGAAGTTTAGCAATGGAAAAGATAAAGTGCTTTGGTTTTGATATGGATTACACTCTTGCTGGTGAGTACCTTCTTGATTTTTATAATTGATCCTGATCAATGCTTTGTCTCTTGCTTGTTAAGAAAAAAACAGAACTGGGTTGTTGCCACTCTAGCTAGGAGGTGCTTGCTCAGTAGGCTGGAGCCACCTATTCAGACTATTTTCACTTTAGATGTTTGTTAGATCAGCTATCTTGAAACCATATTTGGTTCCAAAATATGTTTCCTTAATTGAAGTCCAAATGATCTGGGGTCTCAGAATGCCCAAAGCTTACACTGGATGTTACTGATGTCCTAAATCAGTGGCTTTCAAACCAGGGTTACACATACCCCTGGGTCTTCCAGTGGATACATCAATTCATTTGCCTAATTTTACAATAGGCTACATAAAAATGCTAGCAGTCAGTACAAGCTAAAATTTCATACATACAATGGTTTGTTTGTATCACTCTTTGCACAGTAAACCCTAATGTAAGCATAATATTTATATTTGAATTGATTTGTAATTATACAATGAAAAAGATAAATTAAGCAATTTTTCAGTAATAGTGTACTGGCACTTTTATTTTTATATCTGATTTTGTAAGTAAGCAGTTTTTAAGTGAGGAAAAACTTGGGTTATGCAAAACAAATCAAACTAGGGATGTTAAAGACTAGTCAATAACCCTCCCCCCCCACGTTGCCTCTATGACATAGAGGCAGCAAAGGGGGGGGGGAGAAGGGGTACTGCCATTTTGAAACCCCAAGGCAGCCGCTGCACAGCTGATACACATATCAGCTGTGCAGCAGCTGCCCCTTTAAAATGCTGCCTCTGCGTGATTCAAAGAGGCAGCCATGGAGCCCGGGGTCAGTTGGGGAGTCCCCAGCTGACCCCGGGTTCCACGCGGCACTTCCCCGCATTTCAAAGGGGCAGCTGCTGTGGAGTCCAGGGTCAGCTGGGGACTCCATAGATCAGCTGTGAGGCAGCTGCCCCTTTGAAACCGCCATCTCCGCACATTGTCCCCAGCTGACCCCGGGCTCCATGGCTTTGAAATGCACAAGAGCTCTCACTGGGGACTCTTGTATATTTGAAAGCAGGCATGCTGAGTGCAGCCTGGAGTTAGCAGGACTTCCTACTGGCTCCGGGCTGTATGCAGAGTTCTGCAGTCTTCCTTTGAAATGTACAAGATCCCCAGCAGGGGCTCTTGTACATTTCAAAGGAGGAATACGGAAGTGCCTATCTAGTCAACTAGTCAGTTAACCTCATTTTAACATCCTTAAATCAAACTCCTGAAAAGGGGTGATATGGAAGGATTGAAAACCAATGTCCTAGACACGTGTTTGCTTAAAATTACACCATGATGTGAAGTTGACTGTGACCAGTAAGCCCATTTTGTTTTTTATGCTGTGAGGATAAGACTGTACATTCATCAAGAATGGCAGGAGATATGCCTGTGAGAACTGCCCTCAAAGGGATCTTAATTCAGTTGTGACGAAGTTTCTCACTCCTCAGTTGGCTGAGCCTGTGTAATAAAGGTCAAAAACCAGAGAATATTTTCTGTTTCTATTGAAAAACTAGGTAGAAATGTACAATGCACAAATGTACAATGTACAGGGACTACAAATTACCTTTTAGCTTTTTCCTTTTTTCATGATTTACGTCTCTATCATCCAAGAATAAGGAATGCAAGTGCTTTGAAACTTAAGGTGGAGGTTGGGAAATAAAACCGTTTGTCAAATACACATATAATATTGTCTCTGCGTGCTATTCAAGATAAAGATGAAAACAATTCATTGTTCATTTCCCAAGTTTGTATTGCAGTGTGTATATTGTAACAATAGGCACTGCACAAATTCCTATCCTCTCTTCCCACAGCCATCAGTGTCATTGATATAAAGTACATGATAATGTTTCTGTTACACTGGATATTTTAATTTATAATTACTATCTATACTCATGTTCGAGATGAGAAATGTAAGCTAAAATATTAAGGTTGGTTATAAGTGGACCACTGCAGGGGTCAAGTCTGGTAATTTAGTTTTCGAGTGAGTGCACATGTCCATTCCATTTCAGGTGTACTCATGCATAGTGCACAGGTGCTGGAGATTTTTCCCTCAGGGTTGCCTGTCAGAGTGGCACATGTACCCTCTGCTGTCTCGCACCATAGCTTGCAGGTATGAAGGGCAGAGCCAACACTGACCCTTCCTCAGTTCCTTCTTACTGCCTGCGTTGGAACTTGGAACATGTGGTCTTACTATTGAATGATTTATTTTCCCTCATATTTGTAGGAAGTTAGTACTTGTTTCAGAAGTTTTAATGGCTTAGACTGTCAGTTAAAGAAATAAGTTTTCTTGTTAAGTGTTTTTAAACACTTCATTTCCTGTTGCTGGGTACTGCTGATGAGGCACTGGGTCACTGGGTTTCAATTCCTGCCATCCCTGCTATTCCAGTTTGGTGAGTGACATGCATTCCAGTTACTTGAAGTGTTGCAGGGAGACTTACATCAGGTATTGGTGGCAAATTTGCAGGAATGTTAAGCCATTAACCAAGAAATAGAGACTGGGCTTAAGTTTTTTCTGATGGAGATGGTCCTGCATTCACCCCTGGAGACTTTCCACTCAGAGCCTTTCTGTGTCAATCAGAAGTGCTCCCCTGGTTTTTGACTGATCATTTGGGCTGGTCACCTTCTCTACTACAGAGGAAGAGACACTGAAAGATGGCATCTAAGGTCAGTACCTGATAAATCAAGATTCCTGGCACTAAATTCCAGCAAGCATGTGGATGAGGTTACTAGAGTGTACACGAGTCTGAAGAAGTCTGTGACGCAATCGTCTGCTCAAGAGGGACCGTCAACTCTGGTGGCATGGGTACTGGCATTATTGAGACCAGCCCTGAAGTGGCTCCATCTAGTTAACGGTACAGGAGATTATCCCAGTACCATCTACATTGGAGCCTTATGCTGCAGCACAGGATCTATGAGTCATAATCATAGTTATAGCATGGCTTCAGCAACATTGGTTTTCCACTCTGCTTACCCTCTCACACACAGCTCCCTTGCCACTTCCATGGGATGCAGACCTGATTTCTCAGGATTATGGTCATCCTCTGACCTGAACTCTTCCTTATAGCCTGCATGCTCCAGGGCTAAGGCTTCAGGAGAAAGCTTATTCCAAGGGGATTTCAGTTGCACTTGTAAATTGTAGAATGCCTTATACTATGTTTACTTAACTGACAAAGAGGGAGTCTCCATTTTGTCCCAGAAAAAAGGGTTTTCCCCAGTCCATGCTTCTATTCATCATGTATTGCTCTATTTGTTATATCCAGAATAGCAAGGGCTTACCATTAGTTCCATAAAGGTCCATCTGACAGCTATATCGGCTTTCCCACCTTCCAAATGATAATCAATCATTTTTCTTCATTCCTATGACAGTTATATTTCTGAAAGCTTTGGGCTGTTTATACCCTAAAGGGCAAGATCCTGGACCCCTTAGGATTTAAATATGGTGTTAACAAACCTAGTGGGTCTTCCTCTTGAACGTTCATTGCTCCATCTTTCTATGAAGACAGTCTTTTTGGTCGCAATTACCTCAGCCCGGAGAATGGGAGAATTACAAGCACTTGTTTCTGGATCTTGGTATACGATCTCTTACAAGGACAGGGTATAGTTGCTATTTTACATCCAAATCAATCAGGTGACATAGTTATCAACTTTCTTCTCTAATATTTACTGTTATACAGGTGACAAGAGGCTCTACGGATTAGGTGTTAGAAGAATGGTAGTGTTTTGCCTGGACAGGACTAAACCGTTTAGGTCATCATTTCCATTGTTCGTAGCAATTGCAGACAGTCTCTTCCAGTCTTTTCTCAAAGGATCTCTTCATGAATCTCCTGTTGTATTTATTTGTGCTACAACGGGGCTGATGTATTGCCACTGAATAGAGTGCTAGTGCATTTGACCAGATCTCTCATGTAACTTCTGTGGCTTTTCTGGCCCAGCTGCGCATTTTGGACATTTGTAAAGTGGCAGCTTGGTCTTCAGTGCATACTTTTGCCTTCCATTATGCCATCTCTGGGCAAATTAGAGATTATGACAGATTTGGATGTGTCATTAGATTCTGATCTGCAAATTGAACTGCTTGCGAGTCACCGGAAATAGAATAGATGTGCAATCATATGAAGAATTAATAACGGTTACCATCCTGTTCTGTAACTGTTTTGCATGAGATTTGTTGCACATGTCTGTTCTAGGGATGTGATAATGTAAATGGCTACACGCAGACCCGCTCCCCCCCCAATGCTACTGCCTCTGATACAGAGGTAGCAGCGCAGGAGGTGGAGAGAGTCATGCGGCTCCATGGGAGCCGGTATGCTTTGGGAGACAACTTAAAAGCCAGCTCTCTGCATGCTCCAGGTTCCGCCTTCCCCCCATGTAAACGTGTAACTGCTGAAATTTTCTTGTGGGTTTACCTTAATAAATGCATTTTAACATCACTAGGCCATTTCATGACCCACCCTCTTTCCCGTCTCTTATCAGACCGAATCTTCTAGTAAGAAGGAACTTAAGGGGATTTAGAATCATAGAATCATAGAATACTAGGACTGGAAGGGACCTCAAGAGGTTGAGTCCAGTCCCCTGCTCTCATGGCAGGACCAAATACTGTCTAGACCATCTCTGATAGACATTTATCTAACCTACTTTTAAATATCTCCAGAGATGAAGATTCCACAACCTCCCTGGACAATTTATTCCAGTGTTTGACTACCCTGACAGTTAGGAACTTTTTCCTAATGTCCAACCTAAACCTCCCTTGCTGCAGTTTAAGCCCATTGCTTCTTGTTCTATCCTCAGAGGCCAAGATGAACAAGTTTTCTCCCTCCTCCTTATGACAACCTTTTAGATACCTGAAAACTGCTATCATGTCCCCCCTCAATCTTCTCTTTTCTAAACTAAACAAACCCAATTCTTTCAGCTTTCCTTCTACAGGTGTACCACGTCTTCCGGAGCGTTTTCCCTAGCGGTACCTGTAGCGCCGACAGGGCGC